TTTCATGAAGTACTCCTGTTTTTTTTTCATGAAGTACTCCTGTTTTTTTTTCATGAAGTACTCCTGTTTTTTTTCATGAAGTACTCCTGTTTTTATCATGAAGTACTCCTGTTTTATCATGAAGTACTCCTGTTTTTTCATGAAGTACTCCTGTTTTTTCATGAAGAACTCCTGTTTTTTTCATGAAGTACTCCTGTTTTTCCCTAAATTTTCTTATAAGATAACTTGATATTTTTTTTTTATCAAACATCTTAAGTCACTTTCTTGAAGCGTCGAAATTATTATACAAATCCCGTTGGGTGTGAAACCATGTCTGCTTTTATATTTTTTTTAAGTGTAAATTCCTGGATCTATAATGTACTTATATCGGCGTGTAGGGCGGCCATCTTAACTGAAAAGCTTTTAGGCAGTATTTAGTTCAAAGTAGAAATGTAAAATATTTAAAGGAGAAAGACCGTTACCTCTTTTACTACCCTTGTGAAACGGACATCTAAAACTCGACGGGCTGTAACGAGGAGAAAAGTAACAACCTAGAGGTAGTATAAAGGTTTTGAATGTTTATGTCTTCGCTCAAGCCGAGAGTGCGCATGCGTGTGTCTCGTTGTAAACAACCACAAGGAGCGTAGTGAAATTGACAAGTGAAAACTAATCAACAAAACTAACGATTAGAATAAAAACCTGGGACAAAGTAAGTGTCGAATACAAACTTCACCATTTACAGTTGATTATATACACAACATTTAATTAATATTAATATTGGATTATACGTATATAAAAAGAAATGATAGCATTCCGTATACAGAAACACAAATAACCTTTTATGTTTTTTTACAATTAAGAAACAAGCAACACGAGGTCTCCTACAGGAGAAAATTGACGTTACGAAGAAATGTGACGTTACGAGATCGCCTGTTACAACAGAAAAATGACGTCACGAAGACTGTTACAGGAGAAAATTAATGTCACGAAATCGTCTGTTACAATAGAAAGATGGCGTAACGAAGTCTGTTAAAGTTAACGAAGGTTTTTACTTTATTATTTTTAATCTGTTTTGGAGTACTTCATGAAATTTCACTAAGTAATTGGCCAATGAACATTAAGCACGTTTCTATATAGTTTTGTGCCGTTGAAAAGAAATGGTTTTTGTTTCTTTTTTTCCTCGGTGACATAAGGTTAATCACCTCTTACTCTCTTAGTGTAGGGATAAAAAATCGATTTTTACAGAAAGTCCTTCGAAATACCACTCAAGCTGTAGGGCCTCGGTGACATTAAGGCACTCGACTCGCAATCTGAGGGTCGCGGGTTCGAATCCCTATCACACCAAACATGCTCGCTCTTTCAGCCGTGGGGGCGTTATAATGTGACGATCAACCCCACTATTCCTTGGTAAAAGAGTAGCCCAAGAGTTGGCGGTGGGTGGTGATGACTAGTTGCCCTCCCTCTAGTCTTACACTGCTAAATTAGGGACGGCTAGCGCAGATAGCCCTTGTGTAGCTTTGCGCGAAGTTCAAAACAAACAAGACCTCTCTGTACCAATAGGAGGCCGAGATTCAGTTTTTAACTTTTTCTAGTGACCTCTCTGTACCAATAGGAAGCCGAGATTCAGTTATGTTTAAATTCTGCATACTCTTCATAGTTTGTTGAACACGAAAATTGACACGTACTTGTACTCTAAAATCACGCGAAGAATAATAATTTTATTAACAGAATCAGATGCTAACTTTGATAACGTGCTGCTGTTCATAGTTAATGCGTGCCAAAAGAAACAAGAAAACATAAATACTAAAATATTTCACTAGGACTAATTCAGCGTGTTTTAAGGGTTTTATTTAATTCGTTAGCGACGTATTTCGAGATCTCACAAAATAGTAACGTTATAACCACACAGTAGGCGAGTGAAGTAATGTGTCGTATAGCACGTGCTTGTCATGCGAACGCTGACGTCACATTACTTTTCTAATAATGTGTGATAAAACACGTATACACCGGAGGATGAAGTCCGACACAGAGAATATATCTTTCAATGGAAATGTGAAGTAAGATAAGAAACAGACGAGGGAGGAAACGACGAAGGTTATTGGTAGACCCTGATTAGCCAATGAGTATTATGGGAAGTCGAATGACAAGGCTACCATCACCATGGTGATACTTGAGGATCAAGGTCAAACGTGATTTACAAGCTTAGTAATGTATATGATATATTTGTGATGTTTGAGGATCAATGTCAAGGGACACGGTCAAACGTAAAATAGTAGTTTCATACTGTATGAGATGTCTTTGTGACGATGAATCTTATTTTCTTTGGGGATCTTGAATGATCTCATTATATTGTTCAAATAATACGGTAAAGTGTCAAGATTGTTTCAAACAATACAGTAAACTATCAAGATTGTTTCAAACAATACAGTAAAGTATCAAGATTGTTTCAAACAATACAGTAAAGTATCAATATTGTTCAAACAATACAGTAAAGTATCAATATTGTTCAAATAATACAGTAAACTATCAAGATTGTTTCAAACAATACAGTAAAGTATCAATATTGTTCAAACAATGCAGTAAAGTATCAATATTGTTTAAAACAATACAGTAAAGTATCAAGATTGTTTCAAACAATACAGTAAAGTATCAAGATTGTTTCAAACAATACAGTAAAGTGTCAATATTGTTCAAACAATGCAGTAAAGTATCAAGATTGTTTCAAACAATACAGTAAAGTATCAAGAATGTTTCAAACAATACAGTAAACTGTCAAGATTGTTTCAAACAATACAATAAAGTATCAATATTGTTCAAACAATGCAGTAAAGTATCAAGAATGTTTCAAACTATGCAGTAAACTATCAAGATTGTTTCAAACAATGCAGTAAAGTATCAAGATTGTTTCAAACAATACAGTAAAGTATCAAGATTGTTTCAAACAATGCAGTAAACTATCAAGATTGTTTCAAACAATACAGTAAAGTGTCAATATTGTTCAAACAATGCAGTAAAGTATCAAGAATGTTTCGAACAATGCAGTAAAGTATCAAGAATGTTTCAAACAATACAGTAAACTGTCAAGATTGTTTCAAACAATACAGTAAACTGTCAAGATTGTTTCAAACAATACAGTAAACTATCAAGAATGTTTCAACCAATACAGTAAAGTATCAATATTGTTCAAACAATGCAGTAAACTATCAAGATTGTTCAAACAATACAGTAAACTATCAAGAATGTTTCAAACAATACAGTAAAGTATCAAGATTGTTTCAAACAATGCAGTAAACTATCAAGATTGTTTCAAACAATACAGTAAACTATCAAGATTGTTTCAAACAATACAGTAAACTATCAAGAATGTTTCAACCAATACAGTAAAGTATCAAGAATGTTTCAAACAATACAGTAAACTATCAAGAATGTTTCAAACAATACAGTAAAGTATCAAGATTGTTTCAAACAATGCAGTAAACTATCAAGATTGTTTCAAACAATACAGTAAACTATCAAGATTGTTTCAAACAATACAGTAAACTATCAAGAATGTTTCAACCAATACAGAAAACTATCAAGATTGTTCAAACAATACAGTAAACTATCATGAATGTTTCAACCAATACAGTAAAGTATTAAGAATGTTCAATTAACTAAACAGGTCATAATTAAAATTGTAACAAATGAGACACTAGCCTAGATGTGACACGCGATTACCCCTCTTCTTCGTACTTAAGTGAATGACAGTTTATTTAACCCTTCTTTTTTTTACATCTTATTTCCCCCGAGTTTCGATAAGTAAGTATAGGATTTTATCCTAATTTTTCAAACACACTAAAGAGAGAAGTCTTACTTGGCATTGACAGGACGGTCGTGACACCAGTGGGAGCGACTAGATTGTTTTTGTTAGGATTTAACCCGCCAGCAGCACTGAAGTCTTGGAGGGGAACATCCACTAATCAAGCTGATGATAAAATACGTTGCTGGCACGTTGTTACTTTGACCTGAATATAAAACAAAATCACAAATTTAAAATATTGCCCACTTTCTTCAGGCAACAGTATTATGTATGCAGATGTGAATGATGCGAAATATATTGATTCGAAGTTACAAAAAGGAATAGCCTAAAATTAAGTATATCATCACGTAGTAGAAACTACCCTGTTTTTAAAAAAAAAATCGAGATATTTTCGACAATACACTGAAATATTGCAACTATTTGAATAAACTCAACTCTTTCTCCGGAGTTTAAATTATATTTAATTAAAGGAACTAGTTCTTTGGGGGGGGGGGACTACAAATATGTGTCACGCACTTTTTTCTTCTAGAAGTTAAAAAAGTATTAAAATTTAAGCAATTATTAGATCATTGTAGATGGCGCTGTTTGCTGACGTAAAGAGGGAGCAACAGAAATAAACACTTCGTTTATTTGTTAATAAAAGTGTTATGGGGATCATAAAAAATAGCGGCGTCATTTTACGGAGGAGTGACATACGAGACCCCCTTTATTCCCCTGAGGATTGGGTCTTTTATTTTTGAAGTTCACGACAAGATATTTCAAATAACAGAATAAAACAGGTTATCAGGATGAATTTCAGCATTACTCTGTTAGTTGACTTCATTTTGTGGTAAATCTCGTACTAAAGCTGTACCAATAGGAAGCCAAGCTTCAGTTTTTAATATTTTTCTAGTGAGAGGTTACTAGAAAAATATTAAAAACTGAAGCTTGGCTTCCTATTGGTACAGAGTGGTCACTAGAAAAATATTAAAACTGAAGCTCGGCTTCCTATTGGTACAGAGTGGGAACAGTTCATGATATGTCCATCAAGCTGGTTAATTTGGCCGAGTGTGTAAACGAAAGAATTACGTTTCTTTATTTTTAAGCGCAAAGATACACAGCGTGATCGCGCAAGTATTCAAATCTGATTTTTAGCGTTATAAGCCTTCAAACTTGCCCACCGCTGAGGTATGGGGGTTGTGGTGGTGTGGGTAGAACATTTAAAGTCCAGAAAGCGATTTGGATGCTAGTGTAGATCTAATCGTTCACTGGTCCGTACATAATAGCAAACATGTATATGCGAGTGTGTAATAACTTCTAATACAATAACTTTTTTCCGGTATCTTTTAACATTTAACTGGATCGTACACTTTTCGCGACACTTGAGTACGATTTATTATCATGTTTATTTTATCAAGTTTTTTTTTTTTTTGCACAACTCTGTTTAGGCAGCTGCTAATAAGAGTTGTCATGGAAACCTAGAATCTGAGCTCTGATTTGTTTGGATGATTAATCGATTATTGATTCCAAAACAAAGTCGATATGTTGTTTTGGACAAGTAAACGAGCTTAATGTTCGGATAAGGTACATAAGTTCCCTCACGTTTGTTCTGTTTGTAGATCTCCAGGCACGAGCTGCACCTCATCTGTTG